ACCTGGCTCCGCGCGATCTATTTTTTGCTTCAGATCTAAGCTCTGATGCAAACTTGATTTCGTGAAGTGAATAGCAGGTAAACCATGGAAACGAGCAGGTTCGAGAGTTAATTTCTACGTGACAAATCTGTAGTTGCAGCTAGGATGGCCGTCGAGATCATCAAAGAGCTGTCCGAAGTGCCGGAAATCCCTGAGGTGCTAGACTCTAGACTGGCAATGATGCTGAAAAACACATTTTTTGCTTTACCTTTAGCCAGTCCTTCAGTATGCTGCAATCGGAATCTTGTGCAGGAGATCAGGAAGGGACTGAAAGCACTCCAGGACGGGACAATGTTTCTATAGATTTAATTGACAGACCTCCTCCCATATTAGGTTGGAGGCCTAGGTTGGAGGCCATTGCGACTAGGTTACCAGGTTGGAGGCCATCGCTATTAGGTTGGAGTCCATTTACTGTAATTGACAGTGGACGCTGATGGAAGTGATCAACACGCCTGAAAGGCCAAGCTTGCTCCAATAGATGTTTTGCAACCTGCCCTGGGTGCTGGCACTCAACAATGGGAGGCCAAGGATGTGGGCTTGCATGCTGCATAGATTCTGAGATCTGAGTTTTGAAAAGGTGTTCCATTTGGACTGAAGCTGAAACAAAGAGGTTTTGCTGTCCTTCCCGAGGTCTTGGTGATCCATCCCGTATTTAACTCGTGCTACACTGCTACACCGTTTTGCCAGGCCGGGTACTCCGAGGAACATGTTGAGCAGGTGCAATCTGATCGGAACTGGTACTACCAGAAGCTCATGGAGGCCGTGAGACGCATCAGAAAGAAAGGGGAAAGACTCATAAACAGGAAACTGATGAAATGTATCGTAGCGGTTGTAGAGTTGCACACGTGTCTCATTGTCTTTAACACTGTTTGGGACTGCCAGCCAAAGCATTTTACCGCAAGCTGCTGTACACACACACACACCCACACCTGAGTTCCCTGCGTGGGAAACATGACCACTTTGCACCTTTGAGCAAGAAGATTGCGTTGCACCAATCAGGTCATTTTTCGATGCCAAGGGCAAGGAGGCATGACAGTTTCTGTTTCTTGTAAAGAAATCCTTTTCTCACTGATGTATCTTCAGGAAGCCGATGGAAGTCAGAGTCAAAGAGCTCTATGGACTGTCAGTAGAGCACGAAAGAGCAGAATGTGATTATTTTTTGTTTAAAGAGCTGACGTAGGACTTTGATTTCTGTGCCCATACTTGAGGATGTCATTTTTGTATTCTTACGCACTCAAACCTGTTTCGTCGAGGATGAACCTTCCAGCGACAAGCCGATCGCACTGAAAACAGCGCGGAGTACAATTATGGAAATGCGCGAAAAAGAGAGGGCAGCGCTTGCGGCGGAGTGGCCGTGGGAAAAGCTTCAGGCGTGAAACTCAGTTCCTTGGGACATGGTGGATGATTCTGGAAGTGCTTGTGACTAAACATATGCTGCTCTGAGGCCTTTTGCGTTGAGCTTCTGGGCAGCTGCCCTGGTTTCAGTCCTCCAGTCCTCCACCTAGTTTGCCTCTTGCAATGGCCTCGGTTGTTGCATCCCAAGGTGCATTCAGCTGACACAGCTGAGTCCGGCCAATGCAACTTCTGAATTCACTGCATTTTTGAAGCTTTCTTACCTTTTGATGAGCTTGGGGGATGAACATGGGGACACCAACCCAAACCCATATGGTTAAGTGCAATGTCTTTTGGGATGAGCTCAATTTGACCATCCCCCACATTGACCCCGAGATGCTGCGTCAGAAGAGGAGAGAAGGCTTTGAGACTTTACATGTGCCAATGATCTAGACGTTGCGAAGAATCAGTGACCGCCGAGTCAGTGGTGACAAGGCTGAGGTCAAAGCCATGGAGAGGCACTGCAAACGGAGATCCTTCAATTGAATGGTCCTTGATGTTTTTCTTCCAACGAGAATGGAGGGCAATCTTTGTGGACATTTTTCAGCGAGACTTTTGTGCCACTCTCGACTTAAACTGCATAGACACAAGTAGTTAGAACTGTGCTTCATTTCCCTGCCAAGGGAAAGCTATTCAATATTTGCCAAGCTCCCTGGAAAAAAGCGACACTGGACCGGACCAGTGCATTTGATCTGCATTTCTAGGTAGCACCGAGTGCGCGCAGCCTGAGGTAATTCATGTTTTGTTGCTGTATAGAATGTCTGACTACCGACTTCTCAGAGCACTGGGTTGCTAGGGGTTGTCAGTGGTGGGTCATGTCTAGCAGTTTTTACACCTGGACCAGCTCGTTTGTTGTTGTATATCATTCTTTCCTTTGTCACATTGCCAAGCTTGAAGAAAATTAACCAGGTTCTCGGCAGCACTGCAGGGTAAACCCAACGCAAGCCCAACAAGAACGCCTCCAGCTTTATCCAGCAAACGTAGTCGTTTACACAATAGCCTTTTTAGTCACACGGTCGAACCTACGGTTCCGAGATACGGTCTTCCACCTACTCCGCACGGTCAAACACACACCTTTTCAACAGCATGAGGGTCCTTTGGACTTAATCAAGCTTTCAGCGCCCACCTATGGTCTGCAAAGGACCCACCTATGGTCTGCACAAGAGGGCTAAACACAAGTGGACATCAAAAGAACAACATCTACAATAATCCTGAGCCTCAATCATAATCTGTATTAGAAGGCAGGCTAAGCGGCTAGGCCGAAGTTCTAAATTTGCGAATGAAGTGAGTTATTGGAGTCTGTGACAAAATGGTCCGAATTGGTGAACTTGGATGTGTCGAATATGAGATTCGAACCACACTTTATGTGTCACAGACCGAGATGGTCATTCCACTTTTGTCTTGGCCCAATGCTTGAAGGGCAAGCCGGCAGACCAACCGTGCACGCTGAGCTCATGGCGACTTGGTGAAAGGTGCGCTTTCGCGGCAGCACTGCGTGTTTGAGAACTTCGAGTGTCTCATGCACCACTCCTTGGACTACCTTTGTTCCTTTAAAATGACATTGGTAGCGGAGCACGCCGCTCCAGCTCCACGCTACCAGCTGCGCAGTTGAGCTCCACACCGCTCCAACTTCATCTACAACCATGCGGAACTCTACGACCAGAAGGTCGAGCACAACTACCGGGCCCAGATCTGACCTATTTCCTTGCCGTGTCCACGGGTGAGATCACTTGCTGTGCTCCCTGAGAGCCTGTTGATTCTTGACGAGACCTTCAACAATGGCATCAGGCAGCGCTGACAAGAAGGATCGTGACCTCGATGTGGCCACCTTCAAGGACAACTACACCCCACTCTTTGATGGCTTTGCTTCAAGCTACAAAGAGTGGAGGAAGAGCATCACGATTTACCATCACAAGATGGTTCTGGCAAAGCGCCGTGGCGAGGCTGTTCTCAACTTGTTGGGCTCCCTGATGGGACCGGCTTGGCGCATTGTCGAGGCGGAAGATCCCGACTCACGAACATGGCGCAGCTTGACACGGCGTTCCAGTATGTCTCGAAGGTGGAGATGTCATTCTTTGACACTGCTGGCCGCCGTTCAGGTCAAACACTCCTCCAGTTCTTTGCACAGCTGGACGAAAAGATGAGACGCATAGAGAAGCGTGGTGTCCACCTCCCCACTGCAGTCAAAGGCTGGCATTTACGGGCGAAACCCCACATTTCACGTTTAAGCAACAAAGCGCAAGCCGCCATGTTTGCCATCCTGGGGCAGGACTACAAGACCACCTTCTCCAAGGTCTATGGGAGGAGTTTGACACCTCAGCCGCCTACTACATGGAGATGGAGGAGTTTGAAGAAGAACCCTATGATGTGGAAGAGTATGATCCTGCCTTTGCCACCTACTTGGACGCTAGACGGCGTTTCCAAGAATGTCCGGTGGTTTTCTTCCTGTTGTTGCGCTCCAAGATCAAGGCCCTTCAACCGCCTCATCAATGCGGAAGGGTTCAAAAGGGGGCAAATCAAAAGGGAAGAAAGGCGGCAAAAGGCAAAAGCGTGTACAAGTACACCAAGCCACCATCAAAGGGAGCAGATCCTAAGGGCAGAGCCAAGCCTGCAATGTCACCACCTACATGTCTGCGATGTGGCAGTGGGTTACGAGTCGGAAGCGCAAGGGAAAGAAGGCTTTCCAGAACCGAGGACCTTGCCGGCCACGGCGCAGGAAGAGTCATTCTGGCAATCCCTTCAAAATTGCCCGACCCTCGCTCTGCATACGTGAAGGGAAACGTACTGAGAAAGGCGGAGTGCTTCAACAGCTTGTGGGCAGTCATGTGGATGAGGTCAGTTGTGGGTTGACGAGAAGTGGGCAGAAGAGAGCGGCAAAGGGACAACCATCTCCTTGAAACGGTGCGGGTAAAGTGGCTGTAAAAGATGCATGACCGCTGCTGCGCAGGATCCCAGACAGCTTTGAAAAGTGGGTTCAGTAGTAGTTCAGCTGCAACGCCCTCCCACAGACCAGACAACCCCTGAAAGGAAAAGGGGTTTTGTAGACAAAAGTTGTTTTGGTGAGGTAGAGCCATAGGCACAGCCTTGCTTCAGATGGTAGATCTACCTTTTTGGGCATCCAGCAAGAACCCCCCTTCCACCTCTTCATTTCGCGCAGACCATCGGTGGGCGCTGAAAACTTGACCAAGTCCAAAGGGCCCTGGCGATTTCAAACAGTTGTGTGTTTGACGTGTGGAGGAGGAGGAGGGAGGCTGTATCTCTGAACCGTCTCAGCGTGAGGAGTGTAACTGTAGGTTCAGGGCGAACTTGTATATAAGCTAAATCTTTACCCATGTGGCCAAAGAGGCTGTTGCGCAGGGGTTTCGGATTGCAGGAAATAGCACGCCGCAGTGCGTAGAACAAATTAAAGAATGGAACTGTCATGAGCACGCTCTTGAAGCCCTGCATTCAGGCAGCACATCGGCTCAAAAAATTGCAGTTTAGAAACATTAACACATGAGCGCAAACAACAGTTGCTTTCCCCATTTTCTATGGTGGACACATCCGAAACTATTGCTGAAGATCAGTTCCGTTCTCCCTGGTAGAGTTCATTTGCGACTGGCCTGATGGTGTCGGAGTACTCCGCGCTGGAGATGGAGGAATGCGAGCCATTGCAGCTGCAGAAGTGGGAACTCATCGAGCCAGACAGAAGTACTGAGGAGAGCATTCATGCGATGCAGCTTGGCAAGGTTTCGAGCAACGATCCACTAGGTTTGTTATTTTCCGATTTGAAACGCCAGACACTGCTGAATGACAATAACATTGGCACTGGGCTTTTGTTGGTTTAGGCGACAGGCATTGCAAGACAACTTACTTGTTGCATAGTTCCCATGCTTAATCCCATTGTGGGTTGGCTACTGAGGGCATTGACTGGATTTATATAATCAAAAAACTTTGATGGCCCGAGGACAATCGAGAGTTCGACGAGTTACGAGTGGCTGCCGCAACGCTTGAGGGACTTGAGAGATCATACTTGCCCAAGTCTATGTGGTATCAGGTTGGGGGTGCCGCAGCAAGTCATTGATCGAATCAGCGGGCAAAAGGACCAGGGGCCCTTCTTCAAATTAAAGGACCGTGCACTCTGCAGCATGAAAAAGGATCGGGCATAAAGGGAATCCGGGAAACCCATATAGAGTTTCGAACAAATTTGCTCGAGTGGATTTGTTCGCTGCAGGAAAAACGCAAAAACTATGACGAACAGGTTGGTATTTGTGCAGACCTTGCGAGAACTATTGCAGAGAAGGAAGCCGAGCAACATGATTTGATGATGCGCAACATACAGACGTCACTCGGCCTGGAGGACATAATTGTGCTTGTTTTTTGAGCCAGTACAGTGTGATGTAACTTGGGAATTTGGTCTAGTTTCCTATATGCCGCAGTGTTTTTTAGAGAGACGTTGCGCAGTTGCGCAGCAGTCAGGTGGAGGAATTGGTTTGGCCAAGACAACACTTTTTATGATTGTTTTCATTGCCGCATCTTCCGGATAAACGTTGGATGACTCCAGTTCTTGTGTGCTAGATTCAAAGCTGCGAACAGTACAAGAACTGGCTACCGGGCTACTGGCTACCGGGTGGTTGGATGTTTTGAACCCCGGCATCCAAGGAACAGTCATAGACATAGCGCGTACAGGCAAACTTGGTTGGATCTCACCGAGAGGCCGCTAGAATGCAAGCAGGACAACGAGCCATCAACGTCTTCCCTAGAAGCAGTGGTCATTGTCCCACGACATGTGGCAAACTGCTGCTACACTACTGTGCTACCGCTACTGTGGTACTACTGTGCTGCTCGTTCCACTGCCACTTATATAAGTAGATTGTCGTTGTAGAGGAGCCAGTGGAATTGCGGGTCTTCACGTGGCAGGCATTTTGCTTTCCTTCTTGTGGTTCTTGTTAAAGAAGTCTTAGTGCACAAAAACACATGCTTAGGAAAGCTGAATTGAAAGATGCAGATTCTAAGCTTTATACTCTTCGTCACGAGATTCAGATGTGGAATGAGTGGCCTGGCAGAAAGAAGATTTGGGGCTGTGCAAATGTTATGGTCTCAAGTACATGAGAGGCAACGCTATATTTACGCTTGTGCTGGTATGAGCTAAAGCTATCATACCTCCTTTTCTCTTTGTAGTGGGGGGAGTTGATTTGTTTCCGTGGCTTATTGAAGAGGCTACTTGCAAAGACCCTTCGCAGCAAGGGCGTCCACACCAAATGCATCCAGAGAAGCAAGCCTTCTTTATTTTGGTTTCACGAAAACAGTTCTCCTTTAGCAATGTGCTTCTTGATTCAAGATTCCTGTTGGAAGGTCATCAACACATCCCGCTGGTGCAAGCTGCTGCTGCTGCTGGTGGTGTTGTTGTAGTAAATCCCCAACCATCAAGGTCATTGAAAATGTCGAAAAACCTTGACGAGACCTACATTGGGCAATATCTGCTGACGCTCTTTGATGTGGCAGGGCCACCTGTTCTGTTGTTGATGGGGGCGAGCCTTCTACACGTCGTGGCCCTCTCACTGCCGTGGATTGCTTACCAATTCACTTTTTGTACGGACCATAGTGCGGACATGGAGTACAACTATTTCTTATGGGTGCCTTTTCTGGTGTGGACCACATTGACCACCTTCATCGAGCCCGGGCTCCAATGAAACTCGAGGAACAGACACCGTGCTGCGAGTTGTAGATGTAGACTGCCTGAGAAATCTGACTGGACAGACAGATAAAAACCATTCATCATCCACTCGCAAGCCTTTACAGACCCCAAGTTTGCAAACAATTGGGATCCAGAGAGGATGGCCATCCCCCAATGTCAGGAGCTTGAACCATGGCGGCCATTGGCCCAAATGGTTTTTGCAAGTTCGAGTTTTGCCTTGGCCACGTGCGACGCGCTGCGACGTATCAAGCCAACACGCTTGAGCAAGACTAATCTCCTGATAAATCAAAGGGAAACGTTCCCTCTGACAGACTAAAGACATTTCCTTTCAAAGTGCAAACATACGTCTATGAATGTCAATGAAGTATCAACTTCAAACAGTTCTGCGTGGTAGACTCCCGTAGACCTGCAGATTGCCTTCTCTGCAGATCGCCTGCACCTTGCATGGCTAACCATAAAGATTTGATTGTATCAATGGTTAGCAGGTGCCATGTTTCTTTATACTTTTGATCTCCAACCTTTGATATGCCACAGCGTAATTGTAAGTCAGCCACTGCAGGTCTCTCAAATCGAAGACACATGAAGAAGACATTGCAGTTGCTCGTTTCTGAGGAGTGGAGATGTTTTTCTTATATTGTTGTCCCTATGCTCGCGTGGACCAAGACCTACTATGTTGTCAGTTGGCCACTGTCATTTCGCCTTTGGCTGCCGTGCATGTTGCTCGCTGGCTTCATCTATCGGATGGATGTTTGGGCACAAGGCTTGGCGCTGGCGAAAGCTTGGCGTTCTCATGATTACCTAGGCAGGAATAGGGAGGGCGTGGGGAGGGCGTTCCCTGTCTCACAGACACTGCCTGAATACGGTAGAGGTGAAAGTAGCGTCGCTTGCTAGTCCATTTTTGGTGTCAAGATGGGTGACGATTGGGTGTGCAGAGCTCTTACGAATGCCTCTTACAAGGGATTGTGTGGTTCATGTGTTCCTCATGACTGTTTGATTGTATCCAAATGTGTCCGTAGCCATTTTGGCTCAAGGCACTCCAAACAGAGCACAAAGCGACAGATTTAAAACAAATTTACAACACTGTCTTTTGTGCTAAGTTGTTCTCACAACTTTGCTTTGCTTTCACTGCTCGAGTATTTTTCTTATTTTGGTTGCATCGGTTTCAAGTTTGAAACGCTTCCATGCTCATGTCACTTTGGCACCCTGTTTCTAGCTTCAAAAGCATCCATGTTCGATTCTGTTTCGCTTCTGGGCGATGGAACTCCCGGGACCTCAGTGCATCATTAAACGATACCGTAAACAGTCGGATTCACATCCAGTGCTGATTATATACATCTCATGTGCCTAAAGCTTGCACTCCGACACATAGCCGTGAACTAGCAACTCACCGAATCGACGGTAAAAGAACTATCAGCCTCATTAGGCCCCAAGTTTCACGAATTCATGACAACCCTCTGACTTTGCCGGCGCGACAGAGTTCTTGTTCCTTCGCTGCGACCCATTTTCACTCCATCCAATTTTTCCCCGCCTCCGCCCCCTCCACACCGCCGTGCGCTCAGGCCTCCGGTCGCTGCCATGCATCCGCCAGAATCTCACGGCGCCGTGCTTCAATCCAAAGTAGACAGTCAGGCACGAGAAAAGTCACTTTGTGTTGGAAAGCCTAGCTCATTTTTGATTTTGCCCATAGTGCAACATTGCAAATTATCCGTCAAACCACGCTCTATGGAGCAAAAAACTTTTGTCTCGTTTTGCCGAAGCCACCATTCTTCGGTTCTGCGCTCTCTGCCTGTCTTTCCTCACCGCAGCGCAGGATCTAGGTAAAACAATTTCAAGCCTTTCACTGACCGATTTCATTGATGTCATGCTTTTTTTGCATTTGTCCCATATGGAGGATGCTGACCTGGATCACCATTTCAACATGCTGAACCTCATCAAAGCTTTGAGATGGTTGTGCAAACTCACAGAATTCTCTTTTCCGGATCTATATAATCCAATCATCTCTTGTTGGACTTATTCCGAACACCAGTTCAAAGAGAGCGTCCCATCGCAGTTGTTTTTTCTGATTGCATGTGAATCAGATGTCGTTCAGGCCGAAGGTTCTTTGCAACATCTTGTAATCAACGGAGCCTTCTTATTCTGCATTTGGTCCAGCCTCAGGTTTTATGTGCTCAGAACATAGTCTGGTCCTCATTCGCTGCGGATCCCCAGGCCTTGCGAACGAGCTACAGGACAAAAATCTCCAGACGTGGTACACCTTTTGGCCTTATGTGGACAGGTTTTTGCGCACAGGATCACACTCACAGTTGGTTGTGGCATTGGTTAGCCATGCTTGACCAGATCTGGTCCATCACGCGTGCCAATGACATGCTTGAACACAGACGCCCCAGATTTCGCGTTCATGGAACTTGACTCCCATTCCTGCATAATTGGCCCCATGTCCTACCAACGGACTTTGTTCTTGCTAAGAGCCTTCATGTATGAAAATGCCCCAGAATCTTGGACAGATCTTGTAGATGTATCCATCTTCACACTTCAAGAGTACACTCTTGAGCTTTGCTGCCAACTTTCTGCCCCTGACCACAGCCGAGCCGTCCAAGGTCACCATGCACACGGTTCCGTCGTCTGGAACCAATCAAAGTTGCCGTATTCCAGAAAAAGCGTCCATGCCGTCTGCGCAGGATGTGGTACAATCCTTTCCCTTGCGCAACACATCTCGCCCCCAATCCAGTTTCAGTCTCGATGTGCGTATCCACCCCTCAGAACACGGACTTGTTGGCTTCACCTTCCAGAACCGCCTTTTCTTTTTGCCCCTTTGGAGCTGTGTTCGGCCAGCGTTGGTGGGGCCGAGTTGGTAGCTTTCTACTGCGCTTGTTTCATGAAATCGTCTTCGCATCTCACGCCATGTTTTTGTTTGTGGATGACTTCTTGCTCACCCAAAATGCAGACATCCTGCCGATTTCTGCGGTCATAATTTGCATGACTTGTTTGATCTGGAAAATCCCCATCAGTTGGCGGAAATGCACTCTAGGGCCCAAGGTTGTTTGGATTGGTTGGCGCTTTGATTTTTCGGCAGGATTGGCGTCCGGACAAACGTAAGAACCTGTTGCAGTTGATTGAAGATCTTTTAAGACGTCGCAAAGTTTCCAAGAAAAACATTGGAGCGTTTCATAGGCCTAAACACGTGGTGCGCAGCTGTGTTTCCTCTTTCATGCACTGGTTGTACGCCGACCTCTTTAACGGAACAGCCGCTTTGTATAGCTGTGCCCCTGCAAATTGGTCGCAGTTGCTCTGAGGATTTGCACTTCCTGGCCCAAGTGAGCGCACTGAGGGAAGTCCAAGCAGTGTCAGATCATAGGATTTGGATGCGCGTTCGCAACCCCGCATCCCCAGTCGCAGGCTGAGCAGTGTAGCGTGTGTTATCCAAACATGTTGTCTAATTGGCGGCCACCAATCCCATGCTGTCCATGAGACCCAGACCCCGTGTCACAGATGTGTTGGCAGCTGATGCATTTGCGCAGGGTGCTGAAGCTGGCATTGGAGGGTTTTTGGAGGGCCACCAACGGTCCCACTCGATGGTTCTCTCTTCGCTTGTCTGCTGCCGACCTTGAAGCGGTTGGGTTTAAACCTCTGACAGACCTGCAGAAGGAATCTGCATGTTGGAAACACTAGCCCAGGGTATTCTTCTTTTTTTTCATGATCGCATCCCATGTGAAACATGCCCGCCCCGCATTGAGTTTTCCGAGTTTTTCGGACAACACGGGAGCCGAAAGTGCCACTAACAAACTGTTTAGTGCACACCCATCCATTGCCCGAGTTTTGGAGCGAATTGCCATGATAGCGAGTCGATCCAACATCTTGCTTGACACTTCCCACATTCCCGGTGCTCGAAAGGAGGAAGCAGACGCATTGAGCCGGTGGAGCGGCGACCACGCCACTGCCCGACCTTCCGGTTTCACACGTGAGTCCCGTATTCACTTCTCACTCAAGATTTCTGGGCTGAGTAGGTCAATCCGACCCTGTATCCCCCAGGAACCGCGTGCAGATGGTGGGCGTCACGCTCTCCCACGTGAACCATGGGTTGCAAACTCTTTGGCGTTGACCCCTTTTCATTGTGCTCTGTGAGAGAACGAGCGCCCGAACGTCCAGACTCTATTTTTGGGCTTGCCTGAATCCACCACAACTTTGGGGGTATCTTTGGGCGGTTGGTTCATGATTGAAATAGGGAATCCATTTCACTGAATCAACAGCGCGATTCTCTTCAGGCAATCCAAAAAGGGGGTTTAGCGGCGGCGTCTTACAACAAACATGTTTGGAGTGCATATGAACGGTTCATGCGTTCCTCATGACTGTTTGATTGTATCCAGATGTGTTTGACGGTATTTGGATCAAGGCACTCCAAACAGGGCACAAAGCGACAGATTTAAAACACCCTCCCTCCTTTTTGTTGGGGGGAATCCGTTTCACTGAATCAACAGCACGATTCGATTCTCTTCAGGCAATCCAAAAAGGGAGTTTTGTGGCGGCGTCTTACAGCAAACATGTTTGGAGTGCATATGAACTGGCGCATTTCATTCCTCATTGGTCATTGCTGCGCAGAGGCCATGAAGAACTGGAGGATGCTTGGGCAAAAGCTTGGAACGCGTCAGTCTTTTCTTGGTTCCAGCCAGGTGCGCAATTGAGGCTTACTGCCGGCTCCTTGGATTCGAAAGAGATTCGAAAGATTTAGAAGGGCCGTTTGAAAAAAAGAACTTGGCCACTCTTTCTGAGGTGGGAGCCTGGCAAATGTTGCCCAAACCCAAAGTAAGCTCCTACAGGACTTCATGTTTGGCGATGGTTTCTAATTTAAGCGGCTACTTGGGTTGAATCGTCTATCCTTCGTGTATGCCACAGGTGGAGATGTCGTTGTCGTCGTCGTCGTCGTCGTCGTCGTCGTCGTCGCGTTACGCTTCTTTGCTGTTTCATGATTCGCCGCCGGTTTTCCTGGATTGAGATTCACTCTCGTTATTCAAAGCTTTAATACTGGGACCAAAATTGATGTTGGGTCTTGCAGTCTGTCATACCACGAGTATATGGGGTCCCGCAAGGATGCCATTTGAAGGCGTCTACTTGCTTGCCAATGACACAATCAAAAGACAAATCAAATATCTCTACGTATGTGTGAGTGTATTATATATGATTTGTATATATATGCGCGCGAAGTTGATGGTGGGCTGGCAGTTCAGCTCGATGGGTTCAAGATTCCTATATTTTTTCTTTCCCTCCCTTTGTTTTGCATTTTGCCTAATGCCATGGTAATCTATGATTTTTCTGTTTAATTATTAATGCATCTGTTTCTTTAGACTATCTCTTTCCTTGTTGCAGCAAACCTTCCTTTTGTTCTTTTCTTTCTCAACTTTTGGGGTTTGTCACGAAAGCTAGCATGCTAGCTGAGTTCTTCTTTGCTTTAGCAATTGGTAGTGGGATGAGCTGCGCGCCTTAAAGCTTGATATATCACACTAAGCGGGGGGCCTGGCCCCCCCCCTTAGCGTGATATATCACGCCAACCCCTCCCCCCACGGTTCGACTCCCAGTGGCGCCGTGTAGCGGGGGTTGGTTGAATGTATGAACGTGGTTGGTTGGGTGTAAACGGTGGCTTGGTGTAAACGGTGCTGCTGCTGCCGCTCTGCTGCTTGCTGCTGCTGATTGGTGCTGCCGCTGGTTGCCGCTTTTGTAGCTGCTGCTTTGCTACTTGTTGCGGCTTGGTGCTGCTGCTGCTGCTGTTGCTGACGACGCCGCTGCTGCCGCTGCTGCTGCTGCTGCTGCTTGCTGCTTTCTGCTTGCTGCTTGCTGCTGGTGGTGCTGCTGCTGCGGCTTGGTGCTGCGCTGCTGCTGCGTGGTGCTGCTGGCTGGCTGCTGGTTGGTGGTTGCTGCTGGCTGCTGGCTGCAGGCTGCTGCTGCTGCTGCTAGCTGCTGCTTGCTGCATAGGACTTGTACTTCACTGTTACAAGTTGTTTACCCCTATTTCTAACCCAATGCATGCATAAGCGGGTGGTAAATTTACCCCCCAGGTTTGCTTTAACCATACACCGGCTATTTCCTCAAGAAACTCTATTCCTTATACCTTCTACCAGTGCTTATCCTACACTATGGACGCCCTAGTGTATGCACAGTCCTTGTGATGCCAGAAATGCTTACCCCTCTTTCTGGCTCAAGGCATACATAAGCGGGGGGTAAATTTACCCTCCAGATTTGCCATAACCATAAGCCGGCTAATTCCTCAAGACACTCTATTCCACATACCTTTTACCAGTGCTTCTCTACACTACGGACGCCCTATAGTGTATGTACAGTCCGTGTGATGTCAGAAATGCTTACCCCTCTTTCCGACCCAAGGCATACAAAAACGGGTTGTTAATTTACCCTCAAAATTTGCTGATCACGCATCTTCGTGCCTGCCAACGAGTGCACCCGGGTTGTTCCAATGTACCCTTCCCAGTCACCGATGTCACATTTACATTCTTTAGCGCAAAGTATGTACATAGCAACCTTTCTCCCGAAACGTGTAAACACTACATGCTTTGCCGACTATGTAGATAGTACATCCGGTGCGATTCGGCTAGCTTTCGACAATTTTTTGCCCTGGCCTCAAGTTAGTAGGGAAGAAACTGTCCATGTGACAAGGTGAAAACCTGTCAGATGATAAGCATCACTGAGGCCTCGCTTGGGCTTGCCTTGCTCTACAGTGGTTCATCTACTTTTTGAGGGTTATTCCTTTCTCACCTACACCCATCAATGTGTCCTACGCATGTGGCGCCGAACGAAAAGGCTATGTTGTCCCATTTTGTTGTGCGCACATTTGGCATGCTGACGCCTTGAAGACGCTGGCAAGCCTTACCCTTATGCCTATGGTCTTGGCGAACCAGCGGAGATACAGTGTCCAGCGTGCCCAGTGGAAGCTGGTCGCTGGAGAGGGCCTGAATCGTGACTTCTTTCACATTCTCAAGATGGACGTCCGCATAATGACTTGGGACATTTTGTTCCGCAACCTGCTGATAACTTGCGCGAAGCTGCAGGTTCAAACGAGTCTCCTCGCGCTACAGTTCCACATGCAGCAGAAACATGCAGAGAGCACGGGCGAGGTCTCTCAGGCCAGGCGGGATCAACTGTAGCAGCTGACGGTTTGTTGTTAGCCAATCTTGGTCATGTATCAAAGAAAGCATTGGCGTCCATTGGCGATTTCCTTTGGGTAGTTGAACCAGGATGAAAGGAAGGATGAAGAAAGGGGTCCCGTGGTGATTCGGATTTCTTGGAGTGTAAAGACCAAAGGGTTTGGTCCCTGTCTTTCCCGACAGATGAGTTTGTTTTCAGAGCACTGGAACGCTTGCATCTCCATAGCCATCGCCCACATGAGTTCAGCGATGGCCTTCATCAGTGCTATCAATGACTTCGTGGACCTCCGAAGAGTGCGCAGCAAAGAGCGCAAGGACCCACGTGGTAGCGACGAGACGCACGTGGTGCAACACGTGGTGCACCACGGGTGTTTTCTGGTCACGCTAACAGAACCAACGGTTGAACTTCCATGTCGTGCTTGTGAATGGTAGTTGAGCAGCGCTGCAGAAGTGAAAAAAATGTCAATGTAGCAACAGACTAGGTGCAGGGCAGTGAAAGGCGTATCATTCTATATGTGTATACGCGAATAAAGCCAGCATGTCCCTGGCCCCTGGCTGTTTTCTCATCCCGAAGTAGTCATTCCAAGTATAAAAGGGCTTCAGATGACTTTATATATATTTCCTCATAAGACTCATAAGCAGAATTCAGGGGTCCGGAACGTTTGAACAACTGGATCAATGGATATACTGTAAGCGTGCTCTCAAAGTTCCATATACTGGCGAAGATTCTCCGGGTGTGTTTGCAGATGCACTCAATGAATCTGAAGTCGGCGCAGCAGTAATTCTATTGTTCATGAGCTGCAGTAGACGGAAGATTACCATTAGAGAATACTACTGCACTTTGAGCTTGTCGTGTCCAAACCCAAGTCAGTGGAGGACCGTGGGAAGAAAATGGATGCAGACGCATGGAATGAGTACAAGAAGCTTGCATTTTGGGAGAGATTGGGGTGGTCAGTCTTGGCTTTGCAGTTCCTTTGGATTTGTTCGAGCAGCTTTTGTACTTTTGAGCATTCAGGTCACTCGCGCAAACAGGTGACCGCCATGTTGTTGGCTGCTGGGTGGGGAGTGGAAGGGGTGCTAGCTGCTAGCTGCAAGAGCCCGATGCAAGCGATTCCCAGGTTTATTTTGCAGAGTCTTGCTTTGGCGAAATTGTGGATGGCTTTTCACTGCAAGCATGCGTTGTGGAACTTCTCCGCAGCTATGCAGTCTTGGAATATGGTGGATGGCTGTGTACCCTTCTGAGGCGTGTTGAGATGGGGCTTTTGTAATTTGGCGTGGAAAGATATTCAGTTGATGGCATGGCATGAGTTGAAAGGCAATATATATATAATATATATGTATGTATAACTATAGGGGGCGGGCTGTTCTGAGCTTTTCCGGTCTTAGGCACTGAACTCCCATTGCCGTACTTTGTTGGCACCGCTGAAGGTTTTGAGTAATCGGTATAGGCCGGTATGAGGTGGCCCCCACCCTTCATTTCTCACTCGCCTGCTTTACTTCAACCGCTTGGTCTCACCTCAAACGAATCGATATGAATCAATCTCTTTCATTTGATTGCGCGAAGAGTTCCTTACCCCTCCCTCAGTCCCTCACCTTGACTTGTTTGATCTCACCTGAAGAAACTATTTTGCCGTTGCTCTCTGTTTGTTGCTGGGTCCGATATGGGGAATCAATTGTGGAGTTGTAGACGAAGTCGAGAAACTTACACCATAGTCAGGAAACCCAGAAACCAACACAATAACAAGAACAGGAACAAGAGCAAGAAGGACAAGGACACAAGGAAGACAAGGAGGAGAAGGATGACGAGGAAAAGGATGCATACATTTTCAGATAACTAGCATAGTTTCTTGGGCTTGGCTTATGCCTTCACTGTACGGCTTGGTTGTTTTTTTGGGCTCTGCTTAGGGCTTCGCCTCCTTAGAGGCCTAGGGTTTCTTTGGGTTGTTTGGCTTGCGGGGCTCGCTTCTTTTGGGTTTTGTTGGAGTGGGCTAGGGTTTATTTGGCTTGAAGGTTTCACGTCTTTAGGGTTTCTTTGGCTTTGGCTTGCGGGCTTCGCTTCTTAGGGATTGTTCAAACTTGGCCGACTGTGCAGAACATGCTTCCAAGAGCAGGTGTTCTTTTTGTTTGACACAATTGCAATGTTTGAAGTGTTGTCGGGGAAGGGCCCCAACTTACAAGACTTATATATATATATACACTCTCCATGAACATCAACTCACTGTCAAGCAAATTGAACAAATACTGTAGTAGAACTGCGTTGCGCCATCTATTGGCTCTCTGTGTTCAATTCTATTATTATTCTTCCCTGTACATACTGTGAAGCCTATCCAGCCCCATCCAATTCAAGACCATCCACACCTATTCAACCCCATACAAATCAGTGCAAAGCCATCCAAAGCAGTCCAAACCCCCCTCAAGCCCATCGGCGCCCATCCTACTCTGTCTTTTACTATTTCTCCTGCTTTTCCTTTCTCTTTCTCTTTCTTTCTCTGCGCAAGAGATTCAGCTATTGTAGTTCTACTTTCTAACTGGAGTATATAGATGGAGCGTGCCGTCAGGGGTACGAAGTTTTTTAGCTTAAATCTCGCCCTTTTTATGCTGTCAGGATGCCTACTGATGGCGCAATTCTACTGTGGTACTCTGGCGCTCGTAGATGGCGCTTTTTTTAAACCATCTATTTTCAGAACGGAGTATATACAGAGATGCAAACTTTCAAGCGTGTCCGCTTTGCGGGCTATCGGGCCTTCATTCTTCCCAAGTTCCAGAAACCCGTCCTTCTCTCAGGACTGAAACCTGTTCTGCATCCTTTGAGGAAGCAACCCCACCAAAATCATCCGAAATCTTTTTTTTTGGGGGCGTTTGCCACTCGCAATGTTTTCCTGACTCGTATTTCATATTTTTTAGACATTCCTCGCCTCCCCCTCCCGCACGTTTCTATCCAAAGTTTCCTCCCTCGTTCGCCATCCAGGTTTCTTGACTCAGCACCCTTCTCTCCGACTCATAGCGGTGGCCTCCACCTAGTAGCTTCCAAGCCCTGCGGTCGTCTAGCCCCAAGTTTTTCCACTCGGGTTTCCTGAGTCGCGGCTTTGCCTTGTACTTCCACGGCAGAGACCTTCCAACACTTTTGACTCTCTCATCGTTTTCTTAACTCTGCCACTCGAGTTTGGGTACTGTACTCGGTTTCCCTGACTTGAGGACGCCTGACTCTGCCCAAGTGTTTTCCTGACCCGGTTTCCTGACTCTGTCACCTTCCATCAAGAGTGGAGCGTTCTTTGGCCAGCTTTCGCGCTACAAGCCGCCCCGCGCTTTAGTACAGCCCTTAGCATATGCAAAACAACACTTCCTTTCTCTTCGCCAAACTTCCTTTCTCTTCACCTGGGGTCCCGTTTTGTCACTGCTGCGCGCTGAAGGTACGGCTGATGCAAGCGCCTTTTTGACAGAACTCTAAGAGTGAACTGGTGGTGCACTGTGACAGGTGAGCTCCTGTGGCCAAGTCCAAGATCTGTTGGCTTGCCGCATGGTGGTGCTTTCTTTTTTGGACTGCTAGATGTTAGCAACCAAGGTCATTTTCTAAGAATATCATATTTCGGATTCCACATTTTGTAGCTTTGTTCATGAGCAGATCTGGAAGCTTTCGGATCGTGGATTTGTAGGAAAGATCACAGGATTGCTCCGAATCCTGACCGCCCCATACTCATAGGAGCTGAGGTTGGGTCGGCCTGTTTTGCTTCATCGAAGTGTGGAATCGGCGAAATCTTTCGTGTCAAGTCCCTAGACCTGCCAGGACTTGATCCTTTTATAGACCGAAATCGCTGTCAAGGGGAGTTGTCATGGTTGAGGAACTAAGTAACTAAGTGGCCAGAGTGGGCGAAACTAAGTGGATGGAGAACGGTTCCTTTTGGCCTTGCTCCAAGTTTATACTGCAAGCCATTTGTTCTCGTAATTCCGAGGGTGCAAGTTCGCAACGAAGTGGTTCTTTGGATTTGTATTTTTGGCCAGATGCCTTTAACTCCCCTCTGGCAGCCACGAAGATTCATCCGGCTAAGCCGGCCTTTCTGGATTCGCGTGTGCGCTTTTCAGTCGACGCGCGGTACGTTCTGGGGCTGCACAAACTACATTGATCATTGATCATCATTGATCTACTGAAGCTGATGATGTCAAGTCCTCAAAGGGTTGTTTCTGATGATCTTAACAAAACTGCGATAGGTCTTACTGGCGCCCTCAACCCATTTCATGCATTTTCACAGGTTCCCCCTCCTAAACTTGCAAGCCCTATCAAGATTTTGACGGAGACCCGCAACGGAAGTTGTACACACACAGATATGTAATGATATCTTGGGCCCTGCCCCCCC